CTGTTGTATCACAGCTCACAGCAACCTCCAACTCCTGTGCTCAAGGGAGTCTTCTGCCTCAGCCTCCCAAGTAGCTGGGACCACAGGCACCTGCCACAACACCCGGCTATTTTTTGTTGCTGTTGTTATTGTTTATTTAGCTGGCCTGGGCCGGTTCGGTGTATATGGCTGGCACTGTAACCATTGTGCTATGAGCTCAGAGCCAAGACTATGGATATTGAATACAATAAATAGGAGTGTTAAACTGTGAGTTAGGAAGTGATAAATTCTATGGAAAAAAAAAGATCAGGATAAAGAAGTGTATTCGTTTATTGCTGCTGTAACAAATTGCCAGTCTTAGCAACTTGAAAAACACAAATTTATTATCTTACAGTCTGGAGGTCAGAAGTCCAAAATGAGTCTTAAGGGTCTAAAATCAAAAGCTGAGTTCTTTCTGGGGGCTCCAGGGGACAATCTCTTCCTTGTCTTTTTCAGCCTGGGTGTCTGCATCTCTTGGTTGTGGCCATGCCACTCCCACCTCTGCCTGCATCATCATCCTTTCTCCAACTCTGACCCTCCTGACACCCTGGGCCTGCAGATGTGGTCCCAGGTACCTCCCACCTCTAGTTTGAGAAGCCCGGGGTTTGAGGCCCCTATTCATCACTGAGTTCTGACACAGTCCCCACTGGCCACGTCTCTTCGAAGGGCAGATCAGCCTGTGGGGAGAGGCGAGAGGCTGTGTCATAAGGGCAACAAGTCCCACCCTCCCCTCCATCTGTAGCCAGATGGGCGGTCACCTGGGCTCCGGGACCCGGATGGTCAGGTCTGTGCAGCGTCCGCCTACGATGCCACTGGCGCAGGGAGGCGCGGGCCTCAGAGCTGAGCCCCTGTGGCGCGCGGCCCACGTCGGGCTGGTAGTGGGCAATGTGGTGCAGCGCCCCAAAACACGTGGTCAGGTAGTACCCGGCTGAGGGCAAGAAGGAGGAGCCTCTTGGCTTCCCTGATCGTCCGAAATCCCCCTGCAGTTTGCCGCCTTCCCTCCTGCTGCCGGGGCAGGGGTTCAGGCGACTTAGGGTGCCCTCTGTTGGGTCTCAGCGTTCTGGAGGTGGGGGCTCACCCTCTCCCCGTAGCTCGTCCGGATCCAAGAGCTCCATAAGAAACTCCACGTCCAGCTGTGTCTCCCCAATGTGAGGACTCCAGATCAGTTCCTCCGTCAGTGCCGGCAGGAAGGCGTCGGCTCCCAGGGGTTCTGGGGAAGCCAGAGGCACCTTTCATCGATCTGAGGTGGATGCCCCTCCACCTTGTCTCGCTGGCAAACGCCTCCTACCAGAATCTCCAGGACCCCGTAGGCACCTCCCAGTAAAGCAAGGTGACTTCTCCCACGATAATGGGTAGACACCTCCTACCTGCTCCTTCTACGCTCAAGCCACTCCCCACTCAGGTAAATACCGGCTCCTTCTTTACCCGTGTTTTCACCACTAGCCAGGCCCGTGTAGACGTCACTGCACACCGCCAGCAGGAGAGCCACCTTGCGGCGCGGGGCGCAGGCTGCGTGGAGGTGCTCCAGGCGGGAGTGGATGCGGCTACGCGGGGAGGGGACGGGGCTCTGCCTCTCAGGCCCCGCCTCCCGGGCTCCCGGAGGCCCCGCCCCAGCCCGCAGGGCTATTTGTCTTCGTCGCAGTTGCCGCAGCTCCCGGGCACGGAGTGTACGGAGTCGCGTCCACAGAGCAGGCTTCAGTGGCGCCAGCACTGCCCGGCACACAGCTGCCTCCACCGCGGGGCCTGCGGGGGTTAGGAGACAGGCGAGGACAGGGCTCCGAGTTGCCGTCGCCTTCCTATGCGCTCCACCGACCCACCCTGGCAGACCACCACCCCTCCCTAGCTTCGGGTCACCTACAAGTATAGACATAGGTGTGAGCACATGTGGAAGAGGGAGCCTGGGTGTGAACTTGTGCGCATAACAAGAAGTATGTCCTGTCGACACACGTGTGAGATAGAATGAGTGGTATATGTAAGAAAGAGCGTGTAAAAGGAAAAAGAAACAGGTGTGTACAGCAGTGGAGAGAAAGAAGCTAGCTGTGAACCCGTGGGGATTCCCTTTCAGTCTTCCCATTACCAAGCTCCCCCTCCTTCTGGGGCACTCCTGGCCTCTGGCTCCCAAAGACAGCCCTGACGGTGGGGTCCTTTGCCAAGTGATCCTGGAGGTCAATAAGGAGGTGCCGCACATCCTGAAGCAACTCGGTGGCTGGGTCCCCAGGCCTGTGGGGACCACTGGAAACTGAGGTGAGGCGTGCCCGAAAGCTTCGGTACTGCCGGGCCACGTAGCTGCTCCGGGCCCTGGCCAGAGCTCGGATGTGAACGGTCAACATGTCGTCAGGGCCTTCGTCTTCATCTTTATAGTGCTGATTGTCCTCATCATCCTCATCCTCTTCCACCAGGCTGGCCAGAAGCGGCCCAGGGTGGTGTACTTCTGGGCTGAGCGGGCCTTCCACCCAAGGGACACTGTGAGGGGTAGTGTTCCTGGGGGCTGCACGTGAGGAGCCGGTGGGTCCCATCGCTTGGGGCCAGTAGCTCCCTCATTCCTCAGGGCCCAGGGCCTCTCCCAGCTAACCTGTATCATATCTCTGGGCAGTCTCTGGCTCCATTTCTTGGGAGGTCTGTTCCATGCCCCAGGCTCTGTGGGTCTCCAGGTAGAGCTGGTTCACCACGGAAAGCACCCTCTTTGAGCTATCAGGTTGGACCCTCCCAATCTGCAGAGAATCTGGGACCAGCAAAAATGACTTGTCCCAGGTGTCCAAGGGACTAACTGTGGTCCCTTTAGGGCACCAGGACTTAGTTCCTAGCCTTGTTGCTGCAGGTGCTGAGTCTAGGCACCAGGGCTCCACCACCCACACTCAGACCCCAAAGTCCGGGCCAACAGTCCACTTATCATTTAAACTCGGGTGTCAGGACTCCCAGTGCCTCCTCCCCCAATCCTCTCAGTTAGGACCCAGGAATCCAGGCCCCTCTCCCCTCCTCCCACAGGGACTGCAAAGTCCAGACCTCCCGTTCTCTCCAGCCCCCCACTCTATCTTTCCTCAGGCCCAGTACTCTGGTCCCACAGTCGCATTCCCCTGGACCAAGGCTGGCAAGTTGGCCTCTCTCTCCTTTGGAGAGCTCTGACTCACCTGTGTGTTCATCTCTAGGCCCCAGGGTGGGAGGAGGCAAGAGCAGTGTTCTGGGCAGAACATCCCTGACAATAGATAAGTGGAAGCCACATGTAGGTGGGGTGTCAGAGAGGACCCCTTTAGCCCCTTTAATAGATGACTTGTACCTGCTGGCAGATAGGAAGGCCAGGAGATGGGGCAGGTCTGGCATACATAGGTTGGAAGATTTCAGGGATACACCTGGGGGAAGGAGGCAAGGAAGAACGAAAAATAAGCATTATTACTTTTTTTTAGACAGAGCCTCAAGCTGTTGCCCTGGGTAGAGTGCTATGGCATCACAGCTCACAGCAACCTCCAACTCCTGGGCTTAAGCAATTCTCTTGCCTCAGCCTCCCAAATAGTTGGGAC